ACCTTGCCCTTAACTGTGGTTTGAAAGCAGTACTGCAGACAAATTCTGCCAACTGCCAGCAGTTCGATCCTGACCAGCTCAAAATTGACCCATCCTTCCGAGGTCAGTAAATGAGGACCCAGATTGTTGGGGGCAAGAGGCTGACTCTGTAAACCGCTTAGAGAGGGCTGTAAAGCACTGTAAATCGGTATATAAGTCTAAGTGCTATTGCTATGGCAGGCTAACTCTGCCCACAGTCAGGAGTTCGATCCTCAAGGATGACTCAGCCTTCCATCCTTCCGAGGTCGGTAAAATGAGGACCCAGATTGTTGGGGGCGATATGCTGACTCTGTAAACCGCTTAGAGAGGGCTGAAAGCCCTATGAAGCGGTATATAAGTCTAACTGCTATTGCTATTGCTATTCACTTAACAACTGTGTTGCTAGCAATAGCAACAGCACTTAGACTTATATGCCACTTCACAGTCCTTTTACAGCCCTCTCTAAACGGTTTACAGAGTCAGCCTCTTGCCCCCCAACAATCCGGGTCCTCATTTTACCCACCTCGGAAGGATGGGAGGCTGAGTCATCCTTGAGGATCGAACTCCTGACTGTGGGCAGAGTTAGCCTGCAATAGCAATAGCACTAAGACTTATGTACCGCTTCACGGTTCTTTACAGCCCTTTCTAAGTGGTTTACAAGGTCAGCCTCTTGCCCCCCAACAACCTGGCTCCTCATTTTACCAACCTCAGAAGGATGGAAACCTGAGTTGGCCAGAATTGAACTCCTGACAGAGAGCAGAGTCAACCTGCAATACTGCTTCTAACCACTGCTCCACACAACTCTTAACAGCTGCAGTGGCTCACTTAACAACTGTGACAAGAAAAGTTGTGAAATGAGGCCAAATTCACTTAACAACTGTCTCGGTTAGCATTAGATGAGGGACCAAATAAATTATTTCTGCAGCAGTTCCTCAGGTCCCCTTCAGTTTGCCTTTATTTCTACTCAGTTCAGCCTGAATGCCTTAGAAGAAATTATTTACTTCCAGGGAACAAGGAAAGAGATCCTGGGGTCGGCATTTCTAGCTTTGTATTCTGACTTGAAGTCACTTCCGGTTCTCTTCTTTGATCATTCATTCATTAATTCATTCATTCACTCACTCACTCACTCATTTATCTACTCACTCACTCACTCACTCATTCATTCATTCACTCATTCACACATTCATTCACTCACTCACTCAAATCATTCATTCACTCATTCATTCATTCACTCACTCAAATCATTCATTCAGTCACTCACTCAAATCATTCATTCATCAATTCACTCAACATTCATTCACTCACTCATTCATTCATTTATTCACTCATTCACTCACTTAAATCATTCATTCACTCACTCACTCACTCACTCATTCATTCACTAATATTCATTTACTCAAATCATTCATTCATTCATTCATTCATTCACTCACTCACTCACTCAAATCATTCATTCATCAATTCACTCAACATTCATTCACTCACTCACTCACTCATTCATTCATTCATTAATATTCATTCACTCAAATCATTCATTCATTCACTCACTCTAATCATTCATTCACCAT